TATATGTATATATATATATATATATATATATATATATATATATATATATATATATATATATATATATATATATATATATATATATATATATATATATATATATATATATATATATATACTATTCATGTGTTTCTTTTCCATATATCAAAGGAGCCAAAAATGAAAATGAATGTAGAGATACATGTGCATACACACATTTATTCACATACATATGTATTTCATACTTTATTTAAGGAATACACACAAACAAGCAAAGGTTTCAAGCTTGCAGAAAACTATGTAAATAACACCTAGCTGATGTAATACTAATTATTCATGTTAAACTAATCTATTCAATTGTGAACACCCTACACTCAAGGCTTTTAGGAAAACATAAATCATGAATGTGGTCCAGTTAGTACCAGAATATCCTTAATATTTCACACAAAAAAGGTGCAAATATCATTCTCAGTGATAAAAAGACAATGCAGACATAAATCTGCATTCAATATCAGCATGTGCAATGATGTTGAAAAACAACTGATTGCCCACAAGCTTTACGCTAATCAATATCACTGGAAATAATTTCACAATAAAACAAAAATTTAAAAGACCAGATCATTCTTAGTCTTACAAAAGGAAAACCAAAGACTCTAATAGCACATCGCAGATGTACGTTTTTACTCCTAAGTGTATCAGTAGCCAGTATGAAAATCTAAAGCAGTAAATTCGAATAGTAATGAACCATCCCAAAAACCAATTTTCCAAGACTTCTTTCATCTTAACCCAACCGCATGTTTGGCATCTGTTCTAGTAGCAGCAACAATCGTATGGTTCAGCTTGATGGCACTGGCATGTAAAGCGAGGTGAACCCTTCACTTATTTTTAATTTTTAAAAATGATAACCAAATAAAAGCTTTTAGGTGCCTAATGTTGTCCACAAACTACAGAACGAGCCAGGCACAAACAGGGGATCTGGCGATCAGTGCCAACAATCCCATCTGTGTGGCCACTAGCCAAAAAGATATTTCCGTAGTGGATGGGTTAACAACTGATTTCCATTCAGACAATGTCATACACACCCTCTCTCTACCCTCACACATCACCAAACACTTCCATCAATATCGACTTTAAGGTAGACTCTGCAGGAGTTCATTCAGGAATTCATCAGGATTCTCTATTTCATGCAGAAGTCCTGGAGAAATAAGATAAATTAGTAATGCCTTACATGAATGAGTTCAAAATGTAAAAAGCAATACAATAATCACAGCTCTTTAAGAATCTTATAAACTGTAAAATAAAGAAGTTATCAGCTACTGAAATCAGTAAAATTATACATCACAAAAGATCACATTCATTAATGGAAGATTAAAACCATCTATTTGCTTATTCATAGAGTCTGAAATTATGATAAATGATGTCTAATGCTTCCACTTACCAACTACATCACAGAACTCCATGAAGGAGGAAATAGGCAGGAGCTCCTCTTGATAATGCGTGAGGACCTTAGAGGAAGCTTCCACCAATACTTGGTCATTATGACGCACAAACTCTGCAACTGTTACACTCCATTCTCCCTCTGTACTTGTTTTCTGCAAAAAGTATACAGATTTGTAGGAAAATCTTTACAAAAAGAATCTAATAACAAGAAGAAATGTATCACTTGGTGTAGTCACCCCTGACTACTTGGCAGTACTAACCTTGAAAAAGGTGTTGTAAATAGCATCAATGAGGGCCCAGAAGATTGCTGCATGCTTGTACACACTCCAATCCTTTGTTGCTTTGTCTGTGACTCTGTTTCCAGGTGGTGGGTGAGGTGACACTGATCTAGCATGAGCAACGACTAGTAGACGCTGAAGGTACTGCACCCTTATGGATGTCCATTTGGTTGGTGAATATATGGCTAATGATAAAACACCCATATAAAATGCCCCCTCAGCCTCGTAAGCAATTTCAATCCACCTTTCCTGACTTGCCTCGAGGAAGGTTGAGAGCCTCTTCTCTTCTCGACCCACTGACCGAGTGCTGCAAAGGCAATTCATATGTTTTCATCTTTGTATACAAATATCTAATTGATATTCTCACTTTATGAAGTATACATAGTAACTGTTAATCAAAAAGCATTATTATTACATATAATAAACCCTGGTGTAAGATTCAGATCATCTCAGGGCCAAAATCTATAACTGAATTACTTACGTGTTTATTACATATAAAGCCATGTGGAGAATGTAGGGCACCAAGTTCATATTAGACTGCCTGCCACCACCGCCTGTATCATCACTGAAGGACTTTTCATTGGCAAACCTCAGCAGGAGTAGTTTTAGGTCATGAAGGGTAGAATAGTAACTGATATCCCTGAAAAATAAGTGTTATAAGTCATAAATCACCAACAACTACAACAAAACAAATATGTTAATTTTTTTTCTTCTTTTTTTCTTTTCTCTTCTTTTATTTTCTATCTATTATTTCATTGGCAATAATAGTAATTAAAAAAAAAAAAAAAAAAAAAAAAAAAAACAAGTCAAAAGATCAATTGCAATATAAATTATTTTATGTTTGTTATCATGTCATCCAACTTACCAATCAGAATGAAATAATTACGCTATATCAATTTCTCTGACAATTAAAATTTCTCTAGGGAAATACTGTCATATTCAGAATCTGCTGACCCTTACCTGTGGGTAGTGCATTCCTGTAGATAGGTATTGTGACGTGCTAGACAGGAAGCAAAGGCTGATTCTGGAACTTGTGGCCCCCATAATGGCAGGAGACCATTAGCACGGGTGTTCGCATTATGAAGGGCCGCACTCTCCCACTCATCCCGAGACCTGGATGACCTGTGTGAATACTCCATCCTTGTAAAGGCTGCAATTTTCCACAGCTTGTCTTTTGATAAATACATATGGTTCCATTTAAAGTAATAAGGAATTTTTCAGGCACAAACATAAAGCTTAAACACACACTGAGCAAACTGGATAATTTCAAGCATATTGCCAATAAAAAATTACAAATTATGTAATGAAAAATGGGTTGGTTATTATCATGTTAACATAACTTACCTCACAGCAGCAAGATGACAATCCACATGCACCACATTGAAGTGAGAAACAGTGCAATAACCCAAAGTCTTGTGAGGTTTATTCTCAAACTCATCCACTACACAGCGCTTGCTGAATGTATACACAGCTAATACTTTCTGGGGTTGGCAGCGATAACCCTCCAAACAAATTGCACACACCTATTCAGACAAAAAATAAAATATATTAATATAATTCTACTAAAAAGTAGGATATGTAACAGTAATATCATAATACCTGATTTATAAACAAATATACAACAGAATATTACATGAGACCAACATAAAAAAGGAAAGCAGGTTACACAGTCTTAAAGAAGACCCATAAAAAAATCTGCACAGTTTATACAATCTTACAAAAGACTCACGTAAAAATGCATAGTTTAAAATACAATCAAATTAAAGTTACTTAGGCTGATATGATATTTACCAATCCTGATTCCTCAGCAATTTCTCCCATTTGTGACAGTAATGTAGACTGGGATGTAATTTGCTCCTTTTCATTAGCCTTGAGTCCAAGACGGCTCAACTCTTTCTTTCTGGTCTCCATGGCCAATCGCTTCTTTTCCTGCCTTGTCTGACGACGTACTTCTTGCACCTAGGAATATTAATGTGGCAGAATATAATATAAGTATATATTTGCAGAAGAATATACACATATCTATGCACATTTCCAAATCCAAATGGTTTTCATAAACCCTTTGGTGACGGTGACGACTATAGCCGTCATGACGTAATAGTCTATGATGTGTAAACAAGTCATTACTCGCTGCAGGTGTACACAGACTGTACACAGCTACAAAGTCTAGACTGTTACATAATATTAAATCACAAATAAATCAGGCCCCGTCACAATATGGTTAATTGTCCACTCACCTGCACTGCAATACTGGGATCATCACGTAGTGCTTCAAGCAGATTTTCAGCAACAGAGCCAACGTGTTCATCTGATGATATTTGTTCTAAGCGGTGAATATGAGGTATGCAAGTAGCTGCAACTGCTTGTTGTGTTCCCCTGTGCTTCGTTGCCAATCCTTTTTAAAGGATGAGAAAATTAATGTATAATACCAGAATAAAAGGCTACAACATAATCTCAGTAAATTTATTAGCAAAATGTTAAAGACAAGTTTTCACGTTACTAAGTCCAAGAAGCGGTCTTACCTGTCAAGAGTCTAAGGATGTATTTGAGTGATGGTCGACTTAGAAACTCTTTCCACTCATCATTGTAAACTACTACCAGCTTTTTACTCTTTGGCATGTGGGTTTCTATATATGTTAAGGCATCCTGTGAAGGGAGAAAATCATGTGCGTAAGGTAAAACAAAACAGAAGTTTGTAATATATAAACTTAGTAGCTCAATTAATTAATCTGCAGATATTACTTCATAACACACTCGATATATATGTAATGGTGACCCTATAAAAAACAAACACAAGCAGTTTTGCTTGCAAAATTACCTTGACAATATTAGCTCGGATGATCATGTCCTTCAACTGATTGCCATTCTCATTACGCTCAATGCCATCACAGAACACACAGAAAGACTCCATCTTTGCAGCATCTTCCGGTGAGTGTTCTCCATCAAACTTCTCAAAGTCCAGCACGGGACGGAAATGTCCTACAAGTAGTTCCATCTTCTCCTTGTGACAGAACACCAGGAAGGGGAGCACACGCATCAACCGTTGACGGACCTGTGGAACATGGGATATCTTTAGTATAATTTTAGTTCTGTGATGCATTTCTTACAAAATGCTAATTTAGCATTTAAATTCAACATATCAAACTGACATTCCTAATTCCTTTCCCATAAATACCTGCTTTAAGCATTTTTGCAATAATAACATCATAACATTAATATTATTCTATAGTAAATTTTAATTTGTTATATAACTTTTCAGAAAAGTTTTTTCTCTTTTTAGACTCACAAGCACATTCATATTTCAAAGCTAAAATACAAAATGAAGTATTACAAAGTAACTTAACAATATATAATCTACAGCTTTCATATATACAAAGCACACTTTCTTACCTGGGCATTGGTGCGGGAAGATGTAGCTACATAGTTCAAGAGGAGATGGATGTCTTCAAGGGTACCACATGTTTCGACAAACTCTGTGTATGATGCAGCTGGTATGGAGGACGCCTCTACCAACACTGCCTCTAGTACCTGTATACAACAGCACAGAAAAAATAGAATTTTCATCTGATTGTTGACCATTTTTCTATTCTTATAACTACACGTTTATTATTAAGAATATGAAGAAGATATATGAAGATATGAGAGAAATAATTTTCTCGTAGCCTTACCTGAAGTAGTTGCTCAGTGAGAGATGCTCCACCTGGTGGCCCAGCAACAACTTCTGGCTCTGCTGCAAGACACTGCTTCAAGGTGTGTAGCAAAGTAGAGATGGCATTCAATGAAGGTACCATCAGACGTTCTCTATTCACACGCACCTGAGAAGACCAAGAGAAAATTTATGAAGTCTAAAGATAAAACTACTGGCACTCCTGGCAGTGAAAAGTAACATCGAAATATATACCTAGTGATAACACAATCAACTACAATACATACCTTAACACAATATTGGAAAAGCTTCAACAGCACTGTGACTAGTGCTCTGGCATATGAAAGATCACTTATTCTCTGAAGGCACTGAAGCATCACCTGAAATAAATAATTTGTCATTAATATTTACATATTTACCATAAGAGATTTCCCTCTTTACAAAGTTAAACAACTCACATGCTTCCTTAAAAAGAGAAAGAGAATTTATAAACAAAAAACACATTCAATTTCTCACTTTACACATTCCATGTCTACTTTCTCCAGATAAATATTTACCTCAAGCCCTCCACACTGGCACATGACACTGGCCATACGGTACACCTGTTCATTATCCACATCTTCTTCCTTCTTCTTATCTAAAGTTTCTACAAACTCTTCAGTAGCATCCCCAAGGAGACCTCTCATTCGATACACAATACGCATAGCATCACTCTCACTGTTTTCTGCTAGCCATATTTTCTTATACACCTGTAAGTAGAAATAATGTAAGAGTTAGTGAAGCATATCACAATGTAGACAAATGACATCTATTTTGCCTGTACTTTCACATTCCATGCATATTAATATTAGCATGATATCATTGAATATTTTCTTCTCCATGCAAAATAGATATAGCAATTATGAGCTTCCATTAACTTTCATAATATCCTAGACTGGGCAAAGGTCTCATGGACTGCATCTAGTAACAGCACAGAGCACCAAATGTCAACTAAAACTTTAACTGATTAATAAAATGAAAAAGATTCTGAATATTTCTCCATAAGCATATGACTCTTTCTCATACCTCTTTCACAGGCAGGTCTAGCGAGATGATCTTGTTACAGATGAGTAGCTCCATACCATTATCATCTTCTAACAATGCCACTAGCTCACAGTCCTGGCAGATCTTGTTCTTCACATCTCTCATCAGAGGACCCAGCCCTGGATCTAAGCTGCTGTATGGGTTGCCCACCATGCGACCCTGAAACATCAACCACACCACATAGTCAAGATAAAGACTACAACTTGAAGAAAACTGAATACCTGAAGAAAAGAAACAATTCATAGAAACTATTACAAGGAGTTTTTCATTTAACAAAGCACAAGGCAGGTAACTTATCCCATATACAGGATCTTGTGTAAGATAGACATCTACAAAAAGATATTCCAACTTCCTTTAGACTGCTCTTTATAAAATACAAGAAAACAAACCTGAAGGAAATCTTCCTGCTGAGGATCCTTTTCCAGGGTTAGGAAGAATTCACCAACATCATTCTCCTCAGGATATATTATAGAGCACAACCGCTCATAAATGAAAACAGGTGTACGCAGGTCATCTTGGGGATACTGCTTCAGGGTTTCAACACAAACATTCATGAATTCCTTTGTCTCTGCCTCTGTACCTAGAATCATAAACAATACTAAATTAATACATAATTCATAAAATCACAAAATCAAAATAATACAAGCATGATCACCAAAAAGCCTAAAAGACAAATAGAGAAACAAACAAAAATCAACAGAATTAAGTTCAAATATAATTAAAGACATACCTGAAGTCATATCTTCCAACAATTCTAGGAATTTGTCTTGGGTGTCATCAATGAGCTTAGTGCGTTGGACCACCAACTTCCGTAGAGAGAGGTAGCCACTTAACACTGTGCCGACTAAGCGCCCCTTATATATACTCTTGATCGCATCCACGTCAATGAATTGAGAGAGCAACTCTGTCAATACTTTAAGGGCATAACCTGAAAAGAACAAGGTTTTGTAAAAAAAAAAAAAAAAGATAAAAGAAAAAATATATACTTTTGAAGATCTGCAATAATCATATATGAAAATGTCCAGTAAATGAAACTTTCATATACTTATACTGCATGCCTCAGGTTCTACTATACACACAGTAGAACCATGTGTAGAGTTGTGATCTCTAAACTGGCTGACAAAAGACTGATCTTCCTAAATACCTATGATGCCTTGTGAAGCGGCATTTGGCAATTCAATGCAAATTACATGCAGTGCTTGTAATCAAGGAGAGAAAAAAAAGGATAGAAATAGATGACCTTTCCCCTAATATTCATTTAAAGGTGGAAAAAAAAGAATGGCATGAACATACTATTTACAAACAAAGCAGTATTAGCTAAGAATTACATATCAAAATTGCAATCTGCAGCATTACCTTGGCTTAGATCTGTGGTAAGGGTTGTTTCTTCTAAAGTGGTCAACAGCTGAATTTCTGCAGTAATAAGACTGGCGATGGTTGGCAGGACACCCTTTAGTGCCAGGTAGTATTTCCAGTGAGCACCTAACAGGAGGGTTTGATACAGGGAGACAAATTCTGCAGCACTTTCTCCTGCCTTTCCTATTTCTGGTAAGAATGTTGTGAGCATATCCAGTACCTGAAAGTGACAAATGAGCAAATCAGCATGAGGTAAAGGTTATCTCGTCACTAACTATTTGAAATTTGAAGTTTTCTGCAACTTAACCATTTCATCCAAAACCAATTACCTCTCTCTTGCGCTGGGATGATGAGCACAGGGACTCCACCATTTGTGCAGTGACCTGACGTGCCATACGGGATGAGGGGTTGAAGAGGACACGCCGCAGCCATGAAGATTCCTGCATCTTTAGGTCGTATTGGTGACGAATTGTATGGGCCAACCAGCGACAACCATACTTCTCTATGAGGTATCTTTCATGGACTTCATCCTAAAGAAAGAAGAAAGTAGTAAGTAATATATAAAAGTTTGTGGAAATACCTAAAAACAAAATCAAATACAAATTACAAACTGTACAACATTCCTGAACATATATCTTTTTTTCTGAAAAATATGTTAACTTCCTACCTTCTTCATTTTGCTAACAGCTGGCTCTTGTGCTCTTCTAGCTGATCTCTTCTTCCATGTCTCATAAGAGTGACCTGGGTCACCACTTAGCCACTTACTCACATCTACTCCAACCTTCAATAAATAAAACAATCTTATAATATATGCAACACTGAAAAATAATTATTGTCATCTGCTACCTCATGTTTTCTGAACAGCCAGAATTTATTTTTTGTTTCAATTCTTACCTTTGAACCACCCAAGTAAGCAGCCATCAAGTCAGTGGAGGCCGCACTGGAGGCAGATGCAGCTGCAACAACAGCAGTAACAAAGGCTGCAGCATTCATGGGGGTCTTATCCCTACTCTTACGGGGTGGTGGGGGAGTTGGTGGTCTCATCACCCCTTGAAGGATACGAAGGCAAGGCAGGGTGATGTGCTCCATCACAGTTGGGGAGGCGTTGGATCCTCCAGCCATTAGGAACAATTGAACCACACACCTAATAGAGCAAAAAATAACAGGCTTATATTTGGGGGCCATAAAATTTAGTACCTTGCTAAAATCTCAGGCAAAGAATTGCATTAAAAGTTTCATGTGTCAAAATTTTGTGAATAAACACTAAAAGGCACAAAAAATAAAATTATATTGATAAAACAAACTATATGATGATATTAGTAATTACCTTAACCTATACTCCCAGCAGGAATCCTCCTTCTGTGCAGATGCAGCCAACAAACCCATTTCATGTCTGACAGCAGCTGCTAAGTCTGGTGATGTCACATGGGACCGCAGAGCCATACTGATCTTATCCATAATGAGGCGATTCAGTTCTTGCGTGGCTGACAAGTCATCTTTAGTCAGGAGGCAGAGGAGTTGACGCACCTCACTTCTCACCTGCAATTCATCATGCTTCAAATCAGTACATATACAACTAGGAGGCAGAGATAGCAAGTGAAAGAAAGAAACAAGAAAAATGAGATGAAAACAATGAAAAGGTATCTTCTCATGACTTTCATTATTTGTTCACATCAAAACATTCAAAAGCACCAAAACTGGAGGTGTGACTTACCTGTACAGTACCTCTCCTTAGATTATATTCAAGGAGATCATTGATGAGCCCATGCTGGCAAAGGGCAGCTCTGAGAGTGGCATTTGTTGCCAAAGCCCGAAGCAGAGTAATGCAGTGCTCTGTGGCTGATGCTGCACAACCATAGCAGCGACCAGCAGCCACCACTCCTTCTTCATGGTTGCTTGCATGAACAACACCACTGCGTGTAATAGGAGACACAACATTCTTCTTCCCACCTTCTTTCTGGGACCGATCAAAAGCAACAAGCTCTCGCCGGGAGGCTTGGATTCGCTGGGGTAAAAAAGAGCATATATTAATCAAGAGACTATTCTAACAATTACTATGCTACAAATAAAATCGAAGAGTGAAAAAAATCTCAACCAGAACTTAACATCATATCCTACTAAATATATATCATCCAATCACAACTGGAGTCCCAATAGCACAGTGAACATGAAATCCCATTGCTCCCCATGTTCTTGGCTGCTGCATAAACAATCTTAGAAAAGAGCCTAAAAAGAGGCTTTACTCCTACTTTTTAAGGGGCTATTTCTCATAAACAAATGTATCCAGGGAGAAAGTGGCATGTCATAGGACTTCATTTTAACATGATTGGGATAAATCAAACAATCAATACATAAAACACACACCTGAATAACTTTAGATAGATCATCAAATGAGTTCTTGCAATCTCCACAGTACTTCTGAGCCAACTGCTGGATGGCTCGGTTCACCTGAGTCCCTCCTGAGCTGCCTTCATCATTACTCCTTGCTGCTCCTTGCTCACTTATTCTCACTAACAGCAGCTGATGTGAGATGGAAAAAAAATGCATATAAATTTTTTTTTCCTCTAAGAGATAGAGAGAAATTACAGCAGGAAGTCTGTCTCACATAAATGAATAAGGTAAATTAACAAATGAAAAAGTAAATAATGAATGACAGTGAAGCAGTAAAAGTATAAAGTGCAACCATGCAAGAAAGCCATAACTACCTCCAAAGTTGGTTTATATGCTTGCAGCTGCTTGTATGAACGGTCTGCCTTTTCTAGTAAGTTGTTGATGTTGAGAACTGCTTTCTTGCGGTCATCTTCATTTTCTATGGGATCCACAGCACAGCACGGTCGACATTGTAATGTATAATCAAACTTGGCATACTTACAGTAACCACAGGCATTGCAAAGGAAGGGGTCTTTCTCATCATAATTGATGGCCCTAAAAAGGTTAATAAAATTTAAATTAAAATGTTATCAAATTTATAAACTATCAATATGTGAAGTCACATGAAGAACAATTCTATAAACACCAACTAATATGTATGAAACCACATAAAATTAAGTGCTATTCTACGTAAAATCAGGAAAATAAAAAACTTCTCAACTTAATAATTACTGTGCACATATGCATCTTCATATGCTTGTGCTTCCATTCTCAAAATTAATACAAGGATATATTGTTACAACACCCAAAACTGATAATAATAAACAAACCTGCACTTGTGACACTGATAAACATTCTCTCCACAATTAGCACACACTCCTGGTGATGCTGGCACTGCTGCTGAGCACCGAGGGCACTGGAGAGTTTCTGTTGAGGCCTGAAAAATGCACAATATACCATCGTTTAAAATAAAAGAAATACATAGATGAAAAACAAATCTAACTGCCTAAATAAAGAAATTATCTTTTTTTCATTTCAATGTCATTATGCTGTTGTAAAACTTACCTGAAGATTCTCATAGAAGTCAGTATATTCAAACATGAGGTTGCAGGCAATAATTGGCAGAGGGAAGTCAATTTTGACCTCAATCTGACCAGCAGATAGGGTCACTTTCTTTGCACGATGCCACATGGCTATCAAGGAAAAGAAAAAAGATTAATTAATATGCGGCAACTACCTCCTTGTATTTGAAAAAAAAGCACACAACGAACAATCTTATTAATTAATACTACCTGAGATCTCATAATATCAAATGTTTATTGTTAATCAATACTGAAGCCTTTGAATGAACAGTAATCCATTTCAGAGAAACTACAATATAATCCTATATATCAAAATCACAAGAGGAAAACAAAGCTTCTGATCATAATCCTACTTATTATATCACAGAGAGTTTACATAATATAGACAATAATGTCCACAAATTACTCCGTATGATGATTATAGTCATCAAGTGTTATTGTTTAGAGTGTATAAGGTTTATTTGGCACCAAACAGGTATATGTTAGCATTAATCCAAAAACAGCCATTAACAATTACCTAGCCAAATGCATGATAAAAATATAAAAACATTATATCATAAAAGCAACTGGAAGCAGGGAAAACAATACTAAAAAGGAGTATTGAAAAAAAAAAAAAAAACAGCCCTTCTACTTACCAGGTTTGTTCTTCAACTCTACAACAGCCTGGACTGAACGGTTGTTGTAGAAAACATTAAGGGTACGGACCATCTTAGTGCGCTTCAGATCAGCTATACGCAAAGTCAGTCTGCTAATCATGTGGCTGCCAACAAGCTTGACAAGCTGGGTTGTTGTGGTGAAGCGAGAATCCACCTGCAAAATATTGTTTAGCAATGCAGTTCTCCCTATATCTTTTTTCTTCCAGTATTCTATAAAATCCATTCTCTAATGAGGATACATATAATGTTTCATTGAAAAGGAAAAGAGTGGTTTTCATAAAAGACAAACATTTCAATGCAACAATGGTACAATGGTAAGAACCTGAAATCCATATAAGATATATTCTGTAGTGACATTAAACCTTATGTTAACAAATACCAACCTTGACAGTGGAGAGCTTGACACTTGTGAATGGAACTTCTGGGTTATTACAGACAAGGCATGGCTCAGATTCAAGATAGTAACCATCAAATTCGACTAATGATGCTAAAGAGTTGTAGAGGTTAGCATTAGGATGGTTAGCGAGGAGCTGTGACTGAGTGCGGAGAACAGTGACAGCTCTGTTGATGTATTCAATAACCTGGAGGAAAAAGATCACGTCAAACTATGACCAAAAATGAGACACCTAATCATTATTATCATTATCACTGAAACTATCCTAAACCTTTAGTGCTAGGATATGCCATCCTAGCATACTTTATATACTGTGGATTTAGTATATTGCCAGCAGCACCACAAGTACTTAAACACCAAGGAATCAATTATTAACCCTACCTATCTCATCTGTTTACCCTATTACTTGATTTTCTAAAAAAAAAATTATCATTTATTGCTATTGGTATTCAATAAACATTTAAGCATACTATCAACAAAAATAACAGGCATGGGGGGATCCCCAAAATTTAAGAAATGAAGAAATCAAGTGAGGTCACTTCGGGCTACTAATCAATTCCTTAGGGAAGCCAATTGTGTGACAACATTCATAGTGGATGGTACATATAGCCATGTATAAAGGGTGAAATGTATTCATAACATCAATTTTATGGTCTAAAAACTATTAATCAAAATCAAACAAGATAAAATTCTACATACCTTCTTTTCACAGTGCTGAGTCTTGAGAGAGAAATATCCTAAGAGATCAACAAACTGTGCAGCCTTCCTGCCATAAGCTGGAAGGTGTGGCCACAGTGACCACATGAGGGTAAGGAGAGTATCCTGGTCCCTTGGCGGGGAATGACGGTACAGTGCTAGAACCAGTGAGTGTGCCTGCCATCGCACTCCTGTTGAGTTGGACTCCAAGAGGAATGTTCGAACAAACTGGCTGATGCGGTTACGGTCCAAGTATCTGTAAAACAATTATTATATCATACAATATCAAATTTGAAATATATAAGATATGACATTTAGCATTATTGTCACTCCTTATTTGCCTAATGAATGTTCTACAGTATATTCACAAAGGATGCACTGTATAAAACAAAAACTTACCTATTTATCTGAGCCACAAGTGCAGCACAATGTGCCTCTTCACCACGGCTTTCTCCCTCACTATCCTCACTTGAAGCTCGTTTTGTGCTGCTACTTGAGCTCTGCAAAATATAACATACTTGTACTACCTTGATAATGATACCTAGAACTTCAATTATAAACCAAAGAACAATATGGCAAAAAATACCACAGTATGTCAGAACAAGTGCAAATCCCGTTCATAGTACCTTCTTGAAAACACTCACTTTGGAACTTTCTGAATTCTTTGATGTAGGACAGAGTGCTGCCTGTAGGAGCTGGAGCACTGTAGGTGCAACTCCTTCTTCTAATAGGCATGATACTTCCATCAAGAATCCAAGTACACTTTCATCTTTCATGCAGTACCTTGAAATTTAAAAGAAAATATTAATAATACTATTTTTTTCTCTAGACTAATTCAATGGAAAATTATAAAAAAATCTGAATTATAAGAAAAAATGGGAGTATAAGAAAAAGAGGAAGATGGAAATAAATAAAGACACTAATCAAGAATAGAACTATCAATATACAGCAAAATATGAACACATTAAAGCAATCCACTTCATCACCTGCACAAATACTTACTTTTGCCAGTTTGGTGTTCTTGAGGAGGCAATGTCTACACATGACTTCAAATGCTCAATAAGCTGAATAAGGGAGTCATATGGCAATGCAATTGGTGTTAAGGATGCACTCCCTGAGAAACTAAATCCTCCTTGGGCACACAGAACTTTAACATCCTGTTTCAAGATAAAAAATTCAAATCAATATTAACATTTACACACATTGACTACAGACTGCTAGCAATAGAAACCCACACACACACACACAAAAAAAAAAAATATATATATATATATATATTTCAAAGATAAACCTTTTGGTGAACAAATCATTAGAAGTTTACCTTGATGTGGTAATCCAGTGCATGCATGTCCCTCATTTGGCGGTACCTGTCCTTGTGGCCACAAATGAAAAGCAGCAACTTGCGCACCTGACGTCTTACAACTGGGGTCTGTTGAGTCATCATGTACTCACACAGATAATGAGACCAGGCTGGTTCAAATTGGCCCCCTTCCCCTAATTTCTTCATCTGAAATATGGATAAACAAACTGAATCTTACAAAATATTGGCTTCTTATCAAAATATATAATGAAAAATAAAGTTCTAAAGTAGACAAGTTATCCATTTAATGGTAGTCTTTCATACCTGATATGGCAGCCTCAAAACCATTTCTGTCAACAAGTGAGGGAAGGCTGCAAAAACATCATGGGCATGTCCCTTCACATATTGCCGTAGGAAAAATGGAGACATGTCAGGTGGAAGAGAAAGTGGTCGAGGTTTTAGGAGGCCAGCACCAATGACAGTGCCACCCTGCTCTTCCGAGGTTGCTCGCCAATACTCCAGCAGAGCTTTGAGGAAGGAGAGACAATGCTCCATTGCTCCTGATTGCACCAAGCACTTGGCTGTGGCCTGGGGAATCACACTGGAATTATCACTGCTTGATCTGCCACCAGACTTGTTTCTTGACATCATTACACCTAAAAGGATAAAGAATATGTATGAATTCATCTGCAGGAAACATTTCTAAAACTCTAAACCTTTAAAAAAGTCACAAATATTTACTCACATCAATTTCAAATTCTAATAATGTCATTGCAATTTTCTAATACTTACTCAGTAGTCTCATTACAACAAGCTGGACCTCCTTGCCAGGTGTACGCTCAGAGACTGTTGCTACATCAATGCTGCTCATGTTCAACTGAGTGACAAGAGCCATGAGGACAGCATCCAAGCTTGTACGGTCTCTTGTCTCATTCCCATCTAGGTCAGAGGTCAGCATCAAGAGGACCTAGAATCAAACAATTCAATATAAATAACCAAAAATTACTTACAAACAAAAAAATTTCATCATCAATCTATTATGTCAAATTAAAGAGAAATCCTTTTTTCACTTGACCGCAAAATTATCTAGTAATAGTTCTGATGGAATCTTTCACATAAATGATCTCATTCTCATTTCTTGTCAACTTTTGCATTTATTCTATCATTCTTGCTGAGCCTTTATATATCACTTACTTGGAAGAAGGGTATAGTTGTAACTCCTCCAACAGCTGATAGAGAAGGAATACGCTGCACCAGGGCGTCTAACAAAGCCAGACGGAGTGTATGCAGTCCTACACCACCTTCTGGTAATTCCTCCTCAACCAAGTCACCCTAAAAAATATATTCAAATAATTTATCTGATCTAATAATTTCTTAAATTATTAGGTAAATAAAAAAATGCTAGTTAATATATAATCATACATAGGTATGAGATCTCAATGAAAGCTTACCTGAAGTGTGGTAGGTAATGCTGACACTCCATCACGAAGAGCTGCTGCGCCAGATTCTTGTCCAGTGTCACCATAGGCTGAACTTCGTCCAGAAACATTGTGCTCACCACCCAAGCTCTCAACAACAGATCCTCCAGATTCACTTCCAGCACTTCCAGCCTAAAATGGAAGTCAAATTTAAAAATAAAAAGGGTACATAACTTTTGATCTGTACTCAGATCAAAAAATATCCAAGACTCACTCACTTGGCTAATGATAACTTTATCTTCATTAACTTTGGCTCAAGCCATAAATCATGACTGAAAAATAAACTCAGTGGCAGCATAATTCATTTGTATATCATTAACTGAATGAAGCATCAAAATCATATCTAACATGTTCTGCTGGGGAGGCTCTCAAGTTTGATCCATCAGTGGCTGCTGTAGATCCATCACCATCATCATCATCTGAGCCATTAGCTGAGGCAGTAGTGTCAGAATAGTGTCCATTTTCTTGCCCATCAGCACCTTCAACATCACCAGCTTCTGCTTCCTCTCCACCATCCTGTAAATAACATTATCATTATTTTTTAATGTCTATCAATAGCATAAACCATGACCAAATATCAATATTTCAGACTAATGAAGACACACAGATATACCTAATGATTTTACTAACCTGTTGACCTTCTTGTGCATTGGCCTGAGCTCCACTGCCAGGCATTCCTCCAGCAGCTAGTACTTGGAGACTATGGAGGACTTGGCCACTTAGTCCCTGCAGGCGATGTAATCCTGGCAGGCCCCCTACCAGCCCTTGCAGACCTGGAGGAAGATTACCCAAATCTGCTGGTGCTTGTCCTTGATCTTCATGCAACGAGAGTGCAATTGCAAGTTCTACCATGGCATCATCATCATCGGCAGGGAGGTCTAGCATGCTGCTCATCAGTGCACCTCTCAGGGCCAGGCCACCACCACCTCCTCCAAGGGCTCCTAGGGCTTCTAGGCCTTCTCCACCACCACCTGAAACACAAGTTAATTGACATAATTTTATGGTCTCTTATGAAAAAGAAAATACACACTGATTTGTAAATAAATAGCAAATATGCATGAAGGATACTATTCTCTTGTTAGCTTACCAGCTTCTGCAATTGACTCTGCAGCTTCAGCTCCCTCAAATGGAGGTTCAACTAGGGCAGCTCCAACTGACTCCTGTGTAGTTGTTGCTGTTTTTTCAGCATCATCCACACCAACACCTATTTAAAAATTATTATTTAAGTCACAGAATATTATCAATAGAATTTTACAAAAAGTAAAGATCACATATATGAGACACAAGGAAAAATAAACAGCCAGTGCGATGCTGTATTCCGGGAACGAGTAATTTTTTTAACTACAAACACCTATTTAAAAATTATTATTTAAGTCACAGAATATTATCAGTAGAATTTTATAAAAAGTAAAGAACACACAATTAATTAATGCAATCTCTATGAAGATTATTACTTTTCAATAATTAACATATCAGTGCAGATGTGAATATTATTACCTGGTGTGGAGCACCTTGGTGGACTAGGGATGAAAACCTTGCGTCTCTTGTGTCGAGGTCTAAGAACTCTGATTAGTGCCTGTTTAGCACCGAAACTTACACCTGTGTCTGTACACAGTAATAGTTCTGTGTAAAGTCTCACAGCAAGTGGCACTACAGATAGGGAACAAACTGTATAGGCATGTATAATTTCGACCACTGCTTGTACTGTTGCCTCAACATGAGTAAGTCCTGCAAATGAACAAAATACATTTTATTATACTGTTTATGAAAACAAAAAATCATATGCTCTTTCCCATATCTGACAAAAAAATCCATAAGTTTACCAACAAGTAAAGGAACTAAGATTTCCAGCTTGAAATTCTTCCAACTCCTCTTTATGTATACCTAAAAACTTACCTGGTTGACAAACTGGTGTCAGGAAGGGATTTGTTGGTTTGGCACCATGCAAAGACCAAAACACTGTCATCAGTTGTGCTAAGAAATGATTATCATCACAAGTAATATCATTGCCATTGCTGTCTCCACCCTCAAGTGTTGCTTCAGAGTCTGATGTAGTGTCTGATGCCTTGCTTAATGTGGAGTCTCCATCTGACTTCTTTGACATGGAAGCATCTCCATCTGTTTTTGGCCCAGGAGAAGAAATTGGGATGTCCACTTTCTTGGAATCATCTTCAGAAGGTAACAGGGCCAGGTCACAGGATGGTACTTTTTCAGTATACCTATAAAAACAATTCACATATAAACTAAATGATAAATCCATATAATGAATCTGTCTACAATAAAGATGAAAACCTAATATGCATATCTACTTAACTCATTTCACCTACATATTTGTAAGTCAGTACTTCTGATAAAATTTGTACATACTTGACAAGATTATGAGGTCTGGCAACAGCCACATTTCTTGCTGTGACAACAAGCCTGTGGTATGCCTCACAATCTAGTTGATGAGGATCTGTCACACGGCATAAACTGCTGAGTGCCTCTACCACATTCGCAAGCTGTGCTCCATCCTTATGATTATGATATGCAACTCTGCTTTGATGTAAAGAGGCTAGCAGAGTGCGAGTGTGATGCTGCAAAGAAAATAAACATGTTAGTATCTGAAGAAACTAGATGACTACATTATCAAAGATTTCACATAATTAAACTTTAACAAAAATTATATAAGTTGTATAATTACCTGTACAGTTGGTGGGAGAGGAAGATTTAGCAATTTGGTTGCAAGTTCTAGTGCTCCTGCACGGGCAACAATTTTCTCAGCTGGTGTTGCTACAAAGCATCCATCAAGAGTCTCAAGTGCTGCTGACACAAGACGATCTACAGCAGTCAGTGGTACAGGGGTGGTTGCAGTGCTGCCTCCAGCTGAAGCTGATTCTGAAGAGGTTCCAGAGGTTCCAGCAGTCCCAGACCCACTCACAGTGGTGGGGAAGTCCTCTGGTTCTTCAGGCCAGCCAAAATCATCTTTGGTCTTTCCATATCTAATATCAAAAAATAAAAGTATGAACTTCTCAAAAGAAAAAAAAATCTAAAGAAACAAAGTAAAAAGACAATACAACCTGATGTTTATATGAAGTTATATTACAATACTATGACAATGGTTTTAGAATTAACAGTTAATAAACTAAAACTACAAAAAAGAACAAATAATACACAGAATATACACTACTCACATCTTTACAGAGTCAACAATGGTCACATTGGAAGGGTCTGCTGAAGGTCCAAATGTGATAACAATTCGTTTGTCTGCTTGTAGTGACTCCTCCCTGGTGAGGGGAACATCAAACCAACGACTGCGTGTTGCAGCAATCGATACAGTGCGACCAAACACCTGTAATGATGAATAATATATTTCTCCACCAAAAATGCATGCACCTTTTACACTATCAAAACAAAATATCATAAACAAACAACTCCCCCCACTGACCTTATCTCAGATTTTTAAATTATCCATAACACTAACCTCCAAGAATGCTGGCACCCTTTGAGTGTCAACAGCACCAACAGCAATTCTAATGCCACAGATCACTAAAGTGGAGTCATTGTTAGTAGCCTCTAACTGGAAACCACCTGGTTTAGTTGATGCTATGTACATTCCTGCAAAAAAAGATTGAAAATAAATTTTATCACTGCAAACTTACTATATTCTTCAAGAAAAAAACTCCATTAAAAAAAAAAAACAAAAACAAAGGCATAAACTCAGAAACAAAACATTTTTTAACTACCTTGACTGTTCAACCTGTTCTTCAGTTGCTGAACATTGTACACTTGCAGAAGATCATTGCCACCAAACTCAATATCGTTCATCACAGAGCAATGCTCAAAGAAGTCAACAGGGAACACAATGGATCCTGAAAGATAAAAATCCAATAAAAAATGCTCTCTAGCACTTTTACATAAAACAATAATACATCAACTATATAAAAACAACACTAAAATAAAGCATTCATGTACTCTGAAACCGCCACAACCATGTGGATATGATTCACCTGGAATAACACCAAAATAATTTTCTACATATTTCATAATTTACCTGATGGTCTTCCAAGTTTGGGTGCTTTCTTCTTCCTGGAAGGTCGAAGTGCTGAGATAGCACTGACACTCTGCATTTGAGGTGATAGCCAGAAATCTGTAAAAGAAATATCAGTAAAAATGTCATCAATAAACTAATCCATGGATTCCTTAGCCATAAACAGGAAATAATATCTATTCATGTAGTTATGGATGGAAATATAAAAAGTAAAAACTATACATATTATTTGAGCTTCAAACAAACCTGTTGTCTGTGGGTTTGCATTGTAGATTCTAAGGGAACCGTCTTCACACAATAGAATAAGTGTTGTCTTTGCTTCATGATTAGGGGACCAGGAGTGACGCAGAGCCACCAGATCTGTCATTTTGCTCTTGGCAGGTAGTACCTTGATCTCTTGGACCAAGATCTGGTCGGGCTTCACCATCAATATCACAGGATTGTTACCTAATAACGAGAATAATTTTAAATAAATAAGTCATAGCTTACTTTAAAGAGTAGTTGATTTACACACAGGCAATTGGATCATCTACAAAATAATAATTAAACAAATGACACTGCCAGCTGCAACATGTTTAGCTGTTTAATTACCAAATCATAAATAAAAAGAATTACATGACAGCACACTTACTAGACTGAGTAAGACATGTGATCAGCCCAGGATGGCCAGTGACTTCTCCCCACTGACACAATGGTTGTGGTGCCATCTTGCTCCCACTGCCACCACTGCTACTGCCACTGCTGCTGCTACTGCTACTACTGCTGCTACTGCTACTGCTGCTACTGCTTCCTCCAGAACCATTGCCTCCCTTGACACTCACTGGGAAAAGTTTCTCAACACGTTCGTTTTCACCTGAAACAGAAAAATCCAGCATATGAATATTTTTCTTTTACTGTAACTACTTATAGTGTATAAAAACTATTGAAATTAAAAACTTTAAATCTCCAACTAAAGTCCTTCACCTCAATGAAATGGTTCTCATCCAAGGACATGCAACCAATTTAGGTTCACGCCCGGCAAGTGTAATCTAAGTTCGGCCTCCCATACCAATAATAACCACAACAGACCTCCGATCCCTCCCACAATTTAACACTTTCCACTCCACATCATGGCCCCTACAACAACTGCAGAGGGTAACTGCACCTTTTTGTGTGTTCATATGAATTGTGATTGATCTAACTCCCCCATTTGGGGGAATCAGAGAGGTTGCAGAAAGCACAATGCCACATGGTAAAATGAAGAGTTTTTGGTAACAAGATGATCATGACAGATGTACTTGCAAATGGAAACATAAAAGATGTCCATTATATCTTTATAGTAAATACTTACTTATGGAGATAAGTGGTGCAATGAAGCTCTTTCCTTGAGAATAGCTGAAGCAGAGGACTTGGAGAGTATGGGAATAGTAAACTGATACTCCTCCTCCTCCAATCTGGCCATTGCAGTCCTGTTGGGACATGAAAAAAATCATTATCTTTGCTTCATTAACATGAAACCTTGCATTTCATGAATTTTACTTAAATCATGAGTTGTTTTTAGGATTAGAACATTATAACTTGCCTTTAGATCTTGGTGCTGTATCTGAAGCACATTTGTAACATAAAATGGTCCATGTTGTGCAGAACTCTCCTCACTTAATACTTGTGTGTAAATGTAACCTGATGAGGCCATGGCCACCAAGCAGCATCCTGCATCCTGTAAAGTGAGAAAATCCAAATTTTGTTAGCTTTTATAACTGAAAATTTTTTTAGTAGCTATAAAATATCTGATACAAGGTTCAAATGAGGATCTAAACCTTTTTTTATAGCAACATGTAATACCTGAGTGCAGACAAAGCAGCATCCTTGATCTTCCCAGACGGCAGCAGGAAGAAGTACTGAGGCGAGAGTGAGTCAATACTCAGGTCATAGATTTTGACAAAGTCTGCTGTGATGAGGGCTAATTGTGTCTGCTGGCCTGGCAGCCATACTGCACGAATAATGTAGTTCCCAGACTCCAGTTGGGGATGCAGAACTAAATGGTCTGAAACACTTCCAGCACTTGCAAATGTCAAGATATGACAATCCTGCAGGAGAGAGATGCATCTTATGAAATATTAGAATATAGAGTAAAAATTTATTCACTAGCATAGAACAGCTATATGTGCCACTGATACTTCTTGAAAATATCTTACCTTAAGACCACAGACAGCAAGGTAATCATCATTGGCAGGGTTTGCTGTAATAGAGAGCACTGTGAATGGCACAGGTGCTGAAGAGAGTCTTGTGAGGGTAAGCTTCCTCTTTGCAGAGTCATGTTGTTTAAGAAGAGAAGAAAGCTGGAGCACAGTGATCTTGCCCTTTTCATGAGAAACAGCCAAATGTTGTCTCTTCCCACCCGGAGAGGCAAGGCAACACATAGCAACTCTCCTGATCATGTGAGCCGACACCAACTGGCGGATGGTCTGCCCTTGCTCACCAGAGTAGTTGAGACGGACATTTTCAAAGGCTCCTTCCTGGGACCCTAGAGTGGCTACCATCAACTGTTCTGATGGCTTAACAACCTGAAATATAGTGAACTCTTTATATCATTGACTCTCCTAACATCTAGTATATAAAAAAGAGAAAATAGATTATGGTTGACAAAGAAATCATAACTCTTTTATTACAAAGGCTCTCTCCATCAATTCTGTATGACCTTATCCTCTACAAATAATATTTTGCGGAATGCAAAGCAAGGATGAGTATTTTATTTATCTGTTTTTAATGTTATCTAACTTCTCGTCTATTCTTTTTATATAAAAAATATTGCATCTTCAAGCTTATGAAACACTTTTAAAAAAGAAAATAGAAAAAAAAAAAAGAAAAAAAGAAGAAAAAATGAAAAAAGATAAAAGAAAAAGGAAAAAGGATTCTGCACCCAACTGTTTACAAATATCAATCTACAATAAATAAGACAAACCTTTGAATCATTATGAACTTGATGTAGAGCAGTCAAAGCACGCTGGTAAGACCCCACAGAGCTGGACTCCATGGAACTAGACTGAATAGTGGGCATCAAATCAGACAGCAAGTCCAGGACTGTTGCAGCCACCTCACTGCTGCTCACTTCACCAACAAGGAGGTCTCGTACATTTTCTGGAAATTGCCAAGAATAAAGGAAATCAAGATCAATTTTTCTACTCCAACAGGATTTGTAGTCTTTTACTTATGATTTAGATTTGCAGAAACTTGTCATTTCTAGATGATAGGTTAGTTTTACTTACCTAATTTCTTGGCTAATGCTTGTCTTTGCTTGTGTGTGTCATCACGATGTTTATCCTTGGGAAACAAGGTAAAAGAAAATGTAGTTAGATTTCGATATTCACAATACTTTGCTTTACTTGGTAGAGGTAATTTACATGTTATATGCTCTAAAACATATCAATACATACAATATATTAAATGTGTTACACTTCCCATTTTAGTTATAAGGACTTATAAGGAGCAATTACTAAATGTATTCTATCTGAGACATGGGAAACAGTCACCTGAAATACTTACTGACTGAGTTCCCTGAGATGGTGAAGATGGGCGTCGTCGTAAGGAAGATGGAAGCAAAGGCTCAACACCAAATGCTGCAGGACCACTGGATGATCCACCTCCATCCTCATACGAGGCTGGACTCCTCTTTACAAGAGCCTGGCACATTACAAAGCATAATTGTATTTCTCTATACATAAAAACAAGATCATTTTATATCAGTTGAAAGGTTTAAATCAATATAACAAAATCAAAACAATAAATTCTAGAAAAATCAGAAAAGACAAACCTGACATGAGCCATCCTCCTTTGCACCACAGTCACAGAAGAAAGCTCCATATTTTGCATAGGTGACATCATGCCCTCTGTGACATACACGGGCACAGACAGTACAAACTCCAACACCATCAACCATACGACAGGTGTGGCAGTGATACCAGTGTTGGTGCATGAATTCCTTTTGTGTCAATGTAAAAGTGCACAGTTTGTTGCACATACTATCTTCATCCTGCAGAAGAAAAAAATTTAAGATTTAAATAAAAGCATAATGATACAATAATTCTCATAAAATCCAATGAACCAAATTCACTTGCAAAAATACTTACAGAATCTTCACCCGCACTATCATCATCATCTTGTGCAAGGTCATCAACCCAATCAGAGTCAGTATCGGCCGTAAGATCTAACTCATAGGGAGGTGAAGTCATGCCACTTCTGTAAGCAACAGCCCATCTCTCACTGCTCACCTATGGGAAGAGTATTAACCTTAAGTATTTTATATAAATAATTTAATAGTGAGTTACAATATACTGTTATCTGTTATGAAGCCTTATTTGCTAAACTTAATAAACCTTTAATTAACCTTGCAACATCATTCAAAGTTACTGCAAGGCATGCAATCTAGTTTTTATGATCCAAGATTTATGTCCTTTTAAATAATATTTTGAAAAAGATAATCTGCTGTCTGCCCAACAAGCATATTTCCCTCTTGGTATTAAGAAATTAATTAAGGTTTCCTTGTCACTTCTCTGAATTTATAAATGCTTCTCTGGGGTTTTCTCTGCAGGACAATGGTTGTGCTTTCATGCTAATCTTCAGAACACCTACACCTGAGCTGTTATCATCTTTTGCTTTTAACCAGTACTTTACTAATAGTCTATGGCAAGTTAGTCTGTGTTTTTCTGTTCCCTTTCTTTTGCAGTTAATATACCACCTAGAGACTAGAATTTAACAACTTTGATAGATCATGTTTCTTTTCTAGGATGTCTGGTGCATCCATTCCCTTCACTATGCAGGGGGTATTGCCTTCAAACCTAAGCTTTTAATCCATTCATGAAAGGATGACATCCTATCACATGACAGACTACCCTCCTGTTGGAATGACATCATTTCATCATGTACAGTTCAGCCTATTTCAAGGTGTGCATGCTAGATAGTAGTGCATTTGTTTAACCCTGGTTATGGTCACTGAGGGGAGACAACCCCTCAAAAGTAAGTTTTAAGGACCTTTTTAGCCTCATTACATAAAGAATCATTCATGCCCATGCCAAGAGCATAGAGATTGGGGAAATTCTGATTCCCACACAATTAGTTTCTCTCTCATGTAGCAAACTCTGCACACCCCAATGAATAGTAATAGGACTAAGGGCCATCATGAGAGTTAATCAGGCTTATCTCATGGAAGCTGAGCTAATGGATAGGAGGAAGAGTGGTTGGGATTTAAGAAGTTGCACAAATAAGCTTTCCTGTTTTTTTTTATCTTACTTGGTTTTAGGATGTTGTGTGCTACTGCCCTGGTTGGACAAAGTCAGTTCAGTTGACTATGAGCACAATGATTTCAACAGAAAAGGGGTTTCCATCTGTCAAATGCCTTACTTGCCCCAACTGAAGATGCTTTCATCTTTTTATAACAGGCAAAAATTTTCCCCCTTTCCACTAAACAAACTTGGTATAATACTTACTTTGAGAGCAGCAACAACATCACTGACATATGATAGAAGATGACACATGGCCTCCAAAAGTCCCTTGTCCTTTTCTCCAACCAGATGCTGTTTGCTATAAAAAAAAAAGGTTTACTTATATAAGCATCACAATATAAATCACTCTGATACTGATAGAAATCATATAATTTCCTTTCCAAAAACAATAGACAAAATATACAAGACTAAAATCCTTTTACACTTACCACTGTATAACCCACTGTATTGCAGCTCTGAAAAGAGTTACATGGCCAGTTCCTGCACCTGCACTTGCCAAGGATGACATAACAGAGAGGAGATGCGTCATGCTAGACAAACCCTCACATCCTCCTGACACCAAAGAGGAACCCAAAGGAACCAAAGATCGGAGAAGGGCATGTGCTATCTCCTGAAAAGAAAAGCAAAGGGAACTCATTATTAAGAGAAAAGTCCTGATGCAATCTTCTTCAGAAAAAAACATTTCTGTCTCATATGCATCCATATGAACACAAATTCTTAAAATTCCTAGTCTACTACACTAAATGAAATACAAACCTCTGCACTCTGTGTGTCCTGTGTAATAATATAAGCCGTAAGAGTCCGCAGAAGTTGCCAACTACTTGGTGTTGAATCTGAGTCACTGGTAGGTGCAGTAGTTAACAAATTTGTTGACAGCCAACCTTGCAATATTCCTGACTCTAACCAAGAGCCAACAGATATACGACTGCATATAGATGCTAGTGTGTGGTCATTTGGATTCTTCTCAGCTACAAAATAGGGTAAAAAATAATGCATAAGAATTTAGGTTTGATCATCTGCCATCTGGATTCACATCTAGCCTCCTAAAAATTTCCTTTCCACTTTGAAGTTAATTCCCAAATAAAGTAAACATTAAGACAATTGAAACCTCATACTTCCATTGCAACACTAAATTATACCATTTAGTTTACAGAACAAAACTACTTGAATCAATCTCAGACAGCACAATATCCAACACCTCCTCTTCCACTTTATATAACAGTATTTACTTACCTAACTGGAAGAGTCGGATAAAGAACTTGATAATGTGTGATGGAAGGCTTGATGATGACATGTCCCCACTTACGGGTGGACTCAATAGAACTGAAGCAAATTGTGACTCTGTGAGGAATTTATCCAGAGCTAACTTGCCAGCTGACACCTCTAGGAGTTCTTCCAGGAACGTTGTGCATCCTTCTAAAATTTGCTCATCTATAACCCTGTAAAATTCAAATATATGAGATCCAATTGACAAAAATATTAAAAACTAAGAAATTGTAGGATAAATACAACTTTCAATAGTAAAGGTTGCAAGAAAGCAAGCTGATCACAAAATTTACAGTATTATATGGCTACTGTTCTTTCCTTACTTACCCCTCACATGCTGCTGCAGATTGCAAGAGAGACTCTACATGAGTTAACAAATGTGAGTAGAGCTTTAGCTGGAACTGGTCAGGCGAGGTAGAGGAATCCCCACCTTCCTGGGCTGGGAGAAGGCGGTCAAGTGCTGTGGAGACCGACTCTGATACATGGTCACAGGTGGCATCAACAGCAAGGCCAACTAGGGTGCTAGTTAGTAGTCCACCTGTCTTTTCATCATCACTGCACCAGCTAAAGAAAATGTATCATTAATATTGCTAATATGGCATCATAATAATTATTTATGAAAATAAAAAAGCATCTAGATGAGGTAAAACATTATTGCATATCAAATTTTTTAAATTGCTCTCTTTTTACTCTTTTTTATTCTTTTCAATATCACAATTTCTATAGATGAATTTGAAGATTTATTATACTAACCTTGCAAAATCAGTTGCAAATGTAACTAGCGTGTGCATCACATGTTTTAGGGCCAGATTGATAGTAAAAGCTGGCTGTGCAGAAAGGGTTGCCACGTGACCCATGACAACACCAGACACATAGGTCTCCCCTGGTAGCACATCACCACTCATTGTACTTCTCTGTAATAGAATCATTAGAATTTCAATTACAAATAAATATTATACTCATTTTCATTTAATGGCACCTTATCCCTTATGTTCACAACATTTACCCAAATTCAAAATCTAATACTAAAGAAAATTTGCCAAAATAATTACTGACCCATGCATGGACTGCTGGGAAATCTGACATTGTATTTGCATTCCAGTTGTCCAGAGCAGTTTTGAGAGGTGCAGGGAGAGCAGCCCTGGTTAGGCATGGTGGGTGTGGGCCTGCTCGAGGAACATGGCCACCAGATACAGCAAGGACAGAGGAATATGCATCAAGGGCCTCAATAGGTAATTTGCTACCTTCCTCCAGGACACCATTCATTTGTTGCAGAAGACTCCATCTAAAATGCAATAGAGTGTCTGATTATAGGATATAATATCTTGCCTTTGAGAAAACAATCAGCACCAGATATCAATAACCACATTAAGTCTGTAAAAACACTTTAGCAATCACATTCATTGTTTCTATGTTCAACTAATTTAATAAAATGTATGTCTTCAAATGAAAAACATACTTTCAACCAAACTATACCTTGTGGCATAGGCAAGAGCCTGGATGAGACTGAGCAGGCCAGATATTGGAAGCTGATCTGCTGAAATGTCCAAAGCACGAAGCAAATCACTTCCTTCACTCGAGCGGAAATCAATGTCACCTTTCTGACATGCTTCATCTAAAGTCACCTGGAGGCGAGCCAACACAGTATCCAACATGTAGAGGTCAGAGAATGCAGGCAGCTGTTCTGATGTCAAGAGTGTCCCTACCATAGTGCTGTAACCCTATAGGAGAAAAAATAAAAAATTAATACAATTCCATTTTCATCTTTCATCTTTATCTCTACTCAAAACAGCTTAAAGTTTGCCTGTACCTACTTCTACAAAATAAATTATTTCTTGTTATATATGGTAAATGGTTGGACTCTGAAGGTGTCTAGTGATTTTTATATAATTTGACACCATGTCATCCACAAGAAAGTATCACAGACAAGATTTGTAAGACTTCTATCAATTATTAATCTTGGGGGAAAAAATATTTGCTACATGAATCAACAACATTATCAATCCATTTATGATGCAAAGGCATACTTGCAGATTAACAACTGACGAAAAAATCAAATACTTACTTTATTAAGCAATGAAGTGATAAGGTGGTTTGCAACTTTCAGATCATGTTTGACATTACACATAGTCTTTGCGACAGATTTTAACAGTGCATCAGCTTTCTGGGTAGTCAAGCTTTGCCTCACAAGTCCATCCTGAAAACAAAAATGAAACAGTTTAAATAAAATGAAATACTGGACATAAATATTATTTTCTGATACAATGAATCATATTAAAAAATCTCTCATTCAATCATCATAACCAATATGATTAAATACTCATGTAATGAAAAAAAAACTAGAAAGAAAAAAAGAAAGAAAAAGAAAAAGAAAAAATCAGTACCTTAATCCAGCCATTGAAAATCTTGTGTGATGCTCTTGAGCCCCACAAGAGAGCATGTAATAGATGGGATCCTTCTAGTTTGGCATCAGCACTTGCCATAGCTTCCAGGGCTGACACAGAGGGAGGCATGGTAAGGAGCAGACGGTATGACAAGGAGAAAGCATACTGCACAGCACATAGACCAAGATAGCTCAACTGGGGGTCAGAGGTAAATCGCAGACTAGGGTCGTTCTGACAGCCCACTCCAAGGAGATTGACTAGTGTATCATACAGTGTGCTGTATTTGAGTGTGTCTGGAGTTGCAAGTATGAAACTGCAGGCCTGTGGAATTACAAAATGCATTAATATTAAGATTATAATACAAAGGTAGAAATCATGCCCAAAATAGTTTTGTTTTATAACAGAATCTTCTTGTCCTTTTTTCAATTTCATCTTCCTTATTTCTATCAAAACATAATTATTATTTTGCAGTCCCTTTATCACCTTGTTTCAGTAACTAGTTACTTTTTAATAACCAAGAGTACAAGGAAGTCTGTTCATCTCACCAGTCCGTCAAGTTTGGGTGTATCTTGGGTATTTGTCTCTGCAGGCGTGAGTGTGTAGAATCTTGGACGAATTGCATAATCATCATGAGAATAATTCTTTCTAAAGTTCTCTTCCAAATCTCTCCATACATGATACAGCTTTCCACCTGAGCCCAAGCTAGACTCCTTTCCAGGGCTTTGGCTTTCACATATAGGTTTAAACAGATTCCACTGGACCTGCATTGTAAACAAATCATTCATTTAGTAACTATCACAAGACACTTCATCAAGTAAAATCATCATTATCTGATAGAAGAAATACATTTAATGATACATCCTAAAAAAATGAATACAGTAGATATGATATGCTCACCTGCTCAATCAACACCTGAGGAGCCTCATAAAGGTTCTTCATAAGATAATCAAATATGAGAAGGAGTCGTGCCAAGTGCAAGATCTGAGTGTCTCTCATGGGAGTACTGATGACTGAAGACACATTTACTACAGCAGATGCTACACTCAGGAGTACACTCTTCTTCTGCATTAGCTGTAGTGAGTGGAATAGGAACAGCAGCAACTGGGCATGCTCCACATTCAAATCTGCAAAAAATTTATGTTACCACACATGTTTTCTATATTCCATAAATCATGTAAGCTTTCTTAAATCAAATATTTTTCTAAATCATTTTCAAATTGGATGTTTGAAAAATAACTGCTGCAAATAATATAGAAATTCCATGGATGTAACATTCACTATGCCCCATTACATTTTAATCCAGTGACTCCTGGCCGGCTCAACTCTAGGGCTTCATGTAAATATGGTGGCACGTTGCATGTCACCAACGAGAGTATACATTTTCTGGCTAGATGTGGCACAACATATATTTGGCTGATGGCTTTGATACAGCAGTATGGGTCCTCTGCACTAGTTTTTAACTACACTCTTACATAAGTATCAAGTAACAGTCCATGATAGAAGGGCTATATACTGTATTTGGATTGTGATAACAAGATGGACAATCTCAGTATGGCATAATATACATGCCATCTGGGGGCAATGGGTTAAAACCCTACATGACTGAAACTGGACAATTTTGAATAACACTATTCCATTAGATCCCCCAGTAAATTGTAAAATTTCCAAAGTGAAGTACGTGAGTAGTTTAATTCCTAACAAAACAGTTCAAAGAATGTCAAATTGACATCTTGATAACTGTAACTTCCAATGAAGAAGCCAAACCTTCTGTTTCCGCTTCTGGTGCTGGTGGATTTGTAATGGACTTTGTTAGTGTTGTGATGACACGATGCCAGATGAGAACACAAGCTGTGTCAGAGTCACACTTGAGTTCATCCTTATCACGTCTTTGACGTAAAAGCAGGATCTGTAAAACAGAAGGTAAACCGTAATGAAAATAAAACTGATCATGTCGAATGAATATATTCATTAAGAAATAACTTCATAAAAGAAAATAATCCCCACCCCTTGTCATCTGCCTTGTAAATGTAGCATCAATTTCTCTGAGAACTTTTTTTTCATTCATTTCCAACCCTGTCTGGCTTAAAAAACAACAAATGCCACTAACCTGAGCAAGTACTGTTAATGTCCTTGGCAGGACCTGTAGAGGCCAGTCTCCATCTGGTGTTGAGGGGGAGACTCCTAGCTGTGCAAGGAGTGTATTCTGAAGTGTCTCACTCAAGAGACCAGAAGCAATGACGTTGTGAGTGTAGCGGTAGAGAGCATATGAGAACTCATCGTAGAGAGATCCCAATACTGGTCCAAGATATCCAGTAAGACTTCCTGATGATCATATGACAAAATAGAGTTGGATTTTTTAATTTTTTTAAATCTGTTTACATAATACAGAGATGTTACTCCACATCAACAATCACAATGAGACAACAATATTTTAACTTACCTGAGTCTGAACGGGCAGTTTCCCTGTCTAAGTCCCTAATGATGGCAGCTAGGACTACCATGTGAGTCTCAGCCAATCCTGCGCGAACATATTGTTGCACGTAAGCACACTCACTCTCCACTAGATAACTGTTCATCAGCAGGAAGATATGTGATGCCAAAGAGATGAACTGGAAACAGAAAAAAGAACTTTAGCCCTACTACAACTCCATACAAACTTATGAGCTTGTGAAAAGATTTGCATTGTACAGACACCTTACTAAAGTATATCAAGAGTACAACTAACAGCAAATTTATACATATAAGGTACCATCTCACCATGTATGACTTCAAACATAACATTCCCTATAGATAGTAAGACTGTACTTCAACATTAATCAAGAACAACCTACAGTTACCAAAGTTGTAACAAATTATGTTGCATATGCTTACATACAAGTAAGCATATGAACATTAGCAGTTACATGTGTATGCATGTAAATGTGTCTTTGTGTGTCTTAGTATTTGTGTCCGAGTCTCCACTGTATCTGTAAGCATGCGCTTGTGCTTCATCAGTATTCCTATGGCTTTTTTCAAATCATTCTGGTGCAGCTCATGAACTATCTGATGAAGGGAATATGGCTAAAGCAGCACTAAGTTACCAAGGACTTAATGCCATATCCTAATTGATTTCATCCATTTACCAAATCTTTAGAAAAAAAACATTACTATAGCTATGAAGATTATCATCATTATGAACATTATTTCCATTATCACTATTATCCTCATTATCATACTACCAGAAAAAAAAAAAAAAAAAAAAAAAAAAAAAATCCCCCCAGAAAATTTGTAAGCACTGGATGAAAGTAGGCATAGCATGGCCGGCCTAATAACTGACTCCTTGGTGCTTGTGAAGTCATATATGTATAAAATAATAAAATAATAGTGATTAATGTATGTAGCATTCACTCCCAGTATCAATATATTAATTCTATTTCCTTCAATAAATAGTGTCATTAGACACATTGGACTCAAAACAACAACTTTAAAATCAAAAGAAATCTGCCATCTCTAACTTCTACACCATACATCACACATGCCAACTTACCCCGTGAGGCTCCCCTTTCTCAGGAACAATAGTTGTGACTTCAGAGTTGTGACGGTGAGGGGTCTTGGCTTGGGAGTCATCCGGGGAAGAGGATGAGTCACTGTTCCCCTGGGCAGCTCCTGTGGTGGGGTCGTCCCCTCCATCGCCTGGGGTGCTGGGTTCCTCAAACCACGAGCCAATGATAACTGAGTCGTCGTCTGTGGCGGGGCCAAGCACTGGGTTATCACCACAGTCTGCACCACCCCCAACACCAACACCACAACGACAGCAACCACACAGACAGAACACAGGTCAATAATGCAATTTGTGCTTAGTGAAACAGGCATCTGTGAGGCAATACTGAAACATTGCTTGTTGGTGGGAGAATTTCTTGATTTCTTACATTTACTTGCAACTGACCATACAAAATCAAAATCAAAATGTAAAAGAGTTTTTTAATAAACCAAGCTTATCACCTGCCTTTAGACTTTCTTTTTGAAGTCTTGTAATGTATATGTATATGATTGTGCACATACTCATGTATATGGATTTGATTTTGTATTCCCATTGACATTTCTGTCAACCAGCAGATACTATATGTGGTTATGTGCTAACTGTTAAGATATGAAAAAAACTAACAAACCTGATGATTTGTGTTACTGAAGGGATGCATAGATGACTAAATTAGTAGGTAAAAGAAAATAACCATTCTGTCAATGGGTTGTTATGCTTCAGTAATTGGGCATGTGGCTGGTTGACTAAGTGAGTGCATGTATCCGTGTCGTTAGTGCACATTCCTATAGGAGTGTGTGTGTGTGTAGTTTGTGTATATTTGGCAGGCATGCAAAGCATAATCCAGGAGCTAAATTTATGAAGATCATGATGCACCAACAAATCTCAGTTTCAGATCTCATTCACGACGAGGCATATTTGCATTACAACAGATAGAATTGATAGAGAAAAATCATCATGCAAATCATTTTCATTTGAAAAATTCATTAAGCAGAAACGAATTATCAGATAAGCAGAATCAACATAAAAATGCAATTTTATTTTTATCTCATATTTCTAAAGCAGATATTAAGAAAAGAAAAAAATATCTTAACCAGCATTCAGCGACAATAAATCATAGTCATGTGATAAAGAGAAAAATACATTCTTTACAAAATGCATAGACTTTGTAACTGGGAAAAATATTACTTCCATTAAGGAGACCGTTTGTTTTGCTTTGTTTTGCTTTTTTCAATTTTTAAATTTCCTTTGCTCATTTTGATGAAACTTACACCCTTTTATTTATACCTGGCATGATCCCTAAGGTTTATTTATTTTATTTTAATTTTTTTTTTCAAAATCTCCCAAGCAGTTTTTGAGCTACATAAAAAAAAAAAAAAAATTCAAAATGCCAAATCACAAATTTCAAAAATGACAATCTTTCAAAAAGCAGATAAAATCCAGAAAAAAAAAAATCACACAGGTATTCTGACGTAATCTTTGTACATATATAATCTGAATCTAATATAAGATCAATACAGTTTTTTCAATTTCAACTTTTTTTTCATATCATTATTTATCTGAAAAAGCCAATTTTATAGGGGGGAGCCATATTTTTATTTACAAGAAGCACAGGGAAAAAATTGCAAAAACTAAATGGAATAAGCACTAGATTTATTATCTAGCTACAAAATGAGCCATAAAATGTTTATTTTGGACTAAAATTGAGCGCGTGAGAGCTTTTGAAGCTTGCAAATATTGGCAGTTGAAATTTTCGTATATTTTCATGATTATTTTGGTATTAGAAAAATAAGGTATAAAAATAATATTCCTATAACACAATCTTCTTTCAGTTACCTGCATTCCGAAGACTTACAGAAATTCCCAGCACGTAATAGTACCTCACCAATCGACGTATGTTATTGTAAGGTCATTGTGATTTGGTGAATTTCTCAACATAAATCCCCCCTAAAATAACACAGGCACACTGACTTCACTTTTGAACAGAAAAATCTTTTATCTAGTGCTTGTTCGAAGCACTTTTTTGATTGTACCCTAATGAATATTTAACATAGACGACTTTTAGAAAACCGTAAAAAGTTATTTTCTAAAATATATGTCACTTTTACAAGAGGGACAGGAAGAAATTGCAAAAACTATGTAGAACATGCAGTATATCTATGATTCAGCTACAAAATGAGCCATAATACATTTATTTCACACTAAAATTGTGTGTGCTATGCATAAAAATGTAATGTATGGGATTTTACAACATAAAATACTGGTCTGAAATATGAGAACTCTCCATGCCAGCGAATATCACACTCGCAGGCGGGGCCCGGACGCGAGAGAAGGGGCCATGCATGAGGCCTTTTAACTCTACAGGACGAAACACCCACATTTCACACCAAATCTCCAGTGAAATACAGATATATAAATACAGGGTAGTGTAAAACTATGTATTTAAGATAAATAAGCATATACAGATCATTTCTATTATGTTTATACATAATATCACCTCCATTTGTTTCTTTGTTGTTTGATTGGTTATTTTTTGTTTCCAGGATAATTCAAAAAGTTATGAGCAGATGTTAATGAGATTTTCACCACAGGTGTGCCTTAGCCTAACTTATTTTCAATTAAATATTGGTGGTGATCCAGATCATGTGGCAAACCTCCCCAAAATATTCTTGGGGGGAAATGGGGTTGCATGTTCAGAAGATTTTGTTCAAGGTGGAAACTGACGAAATATGATCCAAACATAAAGAAAAGAAAGTCCTCTACATGAACGGCATATCATTCTTATTG